AGGATATCAAAAACCGTCTTCAAGTCTTGCAGATGATCCTCAGGTTCCTTGGTCTTCACAACCATGTCATATATATATACCTTTACTATTCTGCCTATCAGATGTTTGAACATCTTGGTCACCAATCTTTGGTAGGTTGCTCTTGCATTTTTCAACCCGAAAGGCATTACTCTATAGCAATACAGCCCTTTTGGGGTGATAAATACTCTTCTCTTCATCAGGGGGGTACATAGCTATCTGATGGTACCCCCTGTAAGCATCCAGGAAGCTCATCCTTTCATGCCCTGAAGTGGCATCCACCAATTGGTCAATCTTGGGTAGTGGAAAACTGTTTTTGGGACAAGCCTTGTTCAGGCTGGTGAAGTCCAGGCAGACCCTCCACTTCCCATTCTTTTTCTTCACAACCACAGTGTTTGACAACCATGTCGAGTAATTTACCTCTCGAATGGCTCTGGCCTCCAGAAGTCTATCCACTTCCTCTTCGACTACCTCAACATGCATCAACGTCGGCCTCCTTGCTCACTGGATGACTGGTTTAGCCGACCTGTCAACGTTCAACCTGTGGCAAGTGACCTCGAGGTCAATGTCAGGCATCTCGTATCGTGTTCAGGAAAATACTTCAATGTTTGCTCTTAAGAATGCCTCTAACTCTTTTTTCTCTTCCTCAACCAAGCCCGAGCCGAGAAGGAAGAAGCGTTCTTCATCCCTTTACTGGACAAAGATTTTCTTCAGGGCTTCCTCACTCTTCTCGGCTGGCTCTTTGCCGATATCCTCCAGGACTTCCATGTCCTCATCTTCAATCTCTGCTGTTTCTGCTTCTCGTATGTTGCAGGTGAATTTCATTACTGCCATAGAGCAATTCTTTGCCTGCAGTTGATCCCCTCTGACCTCCTCAATTCCATGCTCTGTTAGGAATCGTAATAGCTAGTGTAATGTTGAGGGAACATCCCTCATTGCATGCAGCCATGGTCTTCCCAGGATAGCGTTGTAAGGGGAGGGGGTGTCAATTACTCTAAACTCTGTTTCCACTTTCTTGGTACCATCCTGCACTTCCAAACTTACTACTCCCAGGGGCCACGTTGGCGTTCCGTTGAACCCAACCATTGGGCCATTGGACTGCTCTAGATCTTCTTGGTGAAGGCCAAGCTCCTTGTAACACCTGACATACATGATGTCACAAGAGTTGCCCTAGTCAATTAAGATGTGTTTTACTTGGCACTCTCCAATCTGGAGGGATATTACCAAGGCATCATTATGTGGATGCTGCCCTAGTCAGCTTCAGTAAAAGACACCACTGGTCCTTGGCACTCGTCTACCCGAGGTCTTTTCTGTCGGACCTGGTATACATGCTGCAAGTGCTTTACCTTCTAAGTCTTCCCCCGTATTTCGCTCTCATTAACCTTCGAATGAATCATATTGATCACTTGAGATCTGCCTATCTGCAGTTGCGGTGTTGGAGGAGGTGGTGCTGCCCGTGCCTGAGGCAGTCTTGCTTGCTCTTCCCTTGTCATGGCCTCATCTACAAGGTCCCTTAAATGGCCTTGTCTTACCAGGTCTTCCAGATGCGACTTTAGGGCTCTGCACCCTTGAGTTAGATGCCCATCCTCATTATGGTAGGCACAATGTTTCCCCAGACTTCTGCCCATAAATTCACCAAAAAGCTTTTATGGCGCTCTACAATAGTACTGATTTCAATTTTTTTCCAAGACTTTATAGACCGGAATTCGGAATACGGTTGTGACTGCCTATGCAGCCCTTAGTCCCGTTTCCTGCTTATTGTATCCACCATTACCTCGGCCTCGCTTCGGAGAGCCATTTTTTTTTTCTTCTTTCGATGCCTTTATCCCCGGTGTATCCTCCTCGGCCCTAGCATACTTTTCAATTCTAGTCATAAGTTCCTCCATACTTTTTGGCAATGTCTTTGCCAATGATTTTCGAAGCAGATAATCGTCTTTCAAGCCGTTCTTAAAAGACACGACTGTCACCTCTTGATTGCATCCTGGTATTCGGTTGAACACCTCATAGTACCTTTTAGCATAGGCCCTAAGGCCCTCATCCTCGCCAATCCTTAGAGCCATCAGGGCGTCCACCCTCAATGGCTATAGTTTGTTTGTCACAAATCTAGCCACGAACATCTCGGCTAGGCTTTCCCAGCTTTTCACAGTTCCTTTCGGCAACTTATGAAACCAATCCGATGCAATTTCTCCAAAGGATGAGGGGAAAACCTTGCAGAGCAACGGCTCGTTCTCGGTGTATAATGCCATCGAGTTCAGGTACAAGGTGACGTGAAAGTTCGGGTCTGACTTACCGTCGTATATCTGGAACCTTGGCATACTGAACCTTTTCGGGGCCTCAAATTTGTCCAATTCTATTGAGAACGGTGTCCTCGGCATCTTATCGCTTTCTTTGGAGGTAATCCCTCATATCCTCCTTGGTTCGTCCAGGAGCTCGACTATCTCCGGATTTTAGCCTCTTTGGTGCACTACTTCCTGTGTCATTGCGAGTCCTTTTGGACCTCCCTCCATTGGTTGCGTCGAAACAAAGGTCCTTCCCCTGAACATGCCGATGTTCTTTGGAGTCAGCTTCCTTGGTGCGATGCGTCCTCAGTGAATCTCCCCTTCTTGATTCTTCTCACCTGACCTCCCTTAAAGGCCGGTGAGAGTGTTCCTTGGTCCTATCGTGCTGAGGAGTCGTAGGAGTTATCTTCTACTCCCCTGTCTAGGCATCTTTCTTCACCGCTGGAATCGGCGTATCTTGTAACAGGAACAGTGGCTGCATGACGTTGTTTTGCATCATGAAATTGACAACCGTTTGCAGGTCCACCAATTTGTGCGCCATTCCCTCTATCTCGTCGACTCTTCGTGAGCATCTATCTTTCCATACCCAGAGGTCATCTTCGTTATAATACTTGTTTCGGTCTGATTTCTTCAGTACGCCGCCCTCCTAGCCGACGTCTTTTCCTCCGTGATTCTTATCACGAGTCTCTTCGTTGTAGTTGTCTTCTTCGACGTCAAGGTCAATATGTTTCCCACTCTTAGTAGGGGTATCGTCCCCAACTTTCTCTTTCTGTCTGTCGTTGGCCATCTATTCTCCTTTCTTTTCCACAGAAGGCGCCAAATTATGTGTGTCAATTTCTGGCCACACTACCAATCAAGCACTCAGCTAGAGAACACTGGCAGAATAGATTAAGCCCAAACGACCTGTCACAAAAAGAAAAGATTTTGGCGGTGGTTCGTCAACTCGGGGGCACTTCGACGATGAAGTCAGTTATCTCTCAAAGATAGCAAAAGTGCTTAACTCACTATTCAGAGCATAAAAAGCATACCTTAGACCCATGGGGGTACCTCTCTTTTATAGCCAATACAAACCTAGTCCCAATAGAAGCCTAACTTCAATGAACTTAGGATTATTACTAATCTTGGACTCCCAGTAGGATTGTGATAAACTCTCTAAGAATCTTATCTTTACCCAAACTAAAGTCCTCTCTCATTCTAGGACTCTTGTCCCTTATCCGCTTATCCCGGATTCTGGTATCTTTGCAGATAACCTTGGCCTAGCTGAGATGATCTCGGCGTCATGACCTGGACACGTGGCACCTCGGCTGGCACTTCGGTGACACCTCGGCCACGTGTTGTCAGTCAAAAATTATGTCCCCACAACTGCCCCCTAGGTTCTATTACTTCGGCATCCTGAGGTGATGGAACCTATATCATTCCTTCCTTTAATCATGACCCCGGTTTAACTTCAACTTATAAATTTTTCTTAAAATTTCAAAAAGTGTTAACCAAGACCTCGGTTTAACTTCAACTTGTAAATTTTTAAAATTTCAACAAGTGTTAAACAATGACCTCGGTTTAACTTCAACTTGTAAATTTTTAAAATTTCAACAAGTGTTAAACCAACCTTAGCTTGTAAATTCTAACTCTCAACCATCGTTCTCCAGCCCTCTTTGATTCTCCATGCCCAACCTCCCGTGAAGACCGGTGAGAATGCCCCTTTACCCTGTCGTGCTGAGGGGCTACTGTAATTGTGTTCTGCCCCCCCCCTTTCTAGGCATCTTTCTTGGCTGCTGGAATTGGCGTATCTTGTAGTAGGAACGGTGGCTGCATGACGTTGTTCTACATCATGAAATTGACGACCATTTGCAGGTCCGCCAATTTGTTCGCCATTCCCTTCACCTCATTGTCCCTCCGTAAGCATCTATCCTTCCATACCTGAAGATCGTCCTCGTTGTAATACCTGCTTCGGTCTATTTTCTTTGGTACGTCACCTTCTTGGCCTTCGTCCTTTCCTCCGTGATTTTTATCACTAGTCTATTCGTTGTAGTTGTCTTCTTCGACGTCAAGGTCAACAGGTTTCCCACTCCCAGTAGGAGTGTCATCCTCGATCTTCTCTTTCTGTCTGTCGTTGGCCATCTATTCTCCTTTCTTTCCCACAGACGGCGCCAAATTGTGTGTCAATTTCTGACCACACTGCCAATCAAGCACTCAGCTGGAGAACACTAGTAGAAAAGATTAAGCCCGAATGACCTGTCATAAAAAGAAGAGATTCCGGCGGAGTCAAATTACAAAGACCACATATAATTTTCCCTAATTTTTCTTGTCCTTCATTGTTCCAATATATTTGTCAATCCATTACATGATGGAAGGGAGTATTTTATGATGACAAGAAATGGGTTGGAGTTTGTTGCACCATAAAATTGACGCATATCTTAATCAAGAAGTGACTCAAAGCAAGTAACTCTTTTTAGGCGGGCTGAAAAGAAAAGGTTTGAATATTTACTTACCATACAAATCTGTGCTAACACAGGTATTGAGTATCCCAATTCGATCCTCATTTGACAAATCTTCACTCTTATGTTGTGTTTGGTTGGAGGATTTGGGAAGGAATTTGGAAAGAGAAAGAGAAAAAGTGTGTGAAACTAGGTGAAATGTAGGTATATTTTATTCACATTTCACCTAACTTTTCCCTTTCCCTTTCTAATTCCCTCTTCAAATCCCTCAACCAAAAACAGCGTTAGTCTTTTGGTAGAGATACCATACCATGTCACTATGTCCTAACAAAGAAGCCATGTACAGTGGTGTCATTCCCTGGCTACCACGGATCATTGGCACGTGTTCGTTCTTGTTAATCACCACTTCAACAATTCTCACAGTTCCATTAGTAACCGCAAAACATAGGGCAGTGTTCCCATTACTGTTTTGAAGTTCCAAGTCTTCAGGATTCATCAGTCCCACCAACTCCTCCACAAAGTGAATGCGTTTTGCGGCTACTGCAATGTGAAGTGCAGTTTCCCACCTTTTTGTGATACTAGAACGTATCACAGTTGGAAATATTTCTATGACACCATTAGTAGCTTTCCAGTCACCCTTCAAAGCAGCTTGGTAGAGGGGTTAGACATATGGCAAGATACTGATCCCTAGCTTCCCCTGTGTAAATTTTAAAGCACATATCATCATATCCAATTTTCCAAAACTTAATATCACAATTAACCAAAAATTAAGTCATATAAACAAAAAAGCAAAGATAATGAAATCCTTTTATGGCATAACTAAAAATTGGTCATTAAGATAACCACATCATAAACTTGCTATTCTCACCCCATGTTCAAGAAAATGCTAATCATACAAAAATTTTATACACACTGCTGAAACAATGATATTTTTACTCTTATGCTGTCCTAACCAAACACAGCATTAATGACCAAACAAATATTGTATGGCTTGTCATTTTTGTTACATAAAAGAAGTTCATGGATACATAGTAGGATTTACCTCACTAAATACGCCCCTGGAAAAAAAAAAACAATGGGAAGAGAGAGAGAGAGAGAGAGCTTACGAGAGAATAGATCACAAGAAGAAGCAATCAGCTAAGGTGAAGTTACAATCTGAATTTCAGGTCCATTTTGTATTCCCCCTTCCATTGGTGTGCCCTCTTCCATCAAATGCACACTACTACTTCACAGCTTTGCACTTTAATCTTTTGTGAAAAAGAATGAGACCAAATGTGAAATAATGGAAGCTTATACATATACAGATATAGAAATGTATTTATAAATGATTAAAAACGCCGCTATAGGCCCTAAAAAGAATGAGACACACTGCTAGAAATGAGGGTTTTAGCGGTGTTTAAAAAATGCCTCCATAGGTCCTATAAACGCCGTCAAATCCTTTTGTGACGTTTAATACCAAACGTCGAAGATGCGGCTATTGCTATAACTTTATGACGCTTTAGAAACGTCGCTATATGACTATAGGCGACGTTTTTAGAAAAAATGCCGCTAAAAGGTCTACTAGCGGTAATATGACATCACCATGTTATTTTGCGACGTTTTTAAAACGCCGCCGTATCTCTTTTTAAAAAAATCCAACTATTGGTATAATATTTAGCGACATTTTTAGAAACACCATGATAGCCTCTTCTTTTTTTTTAATTGTGCTAATTTTATGTGATTGAACTAAAAAATAGCACTAATATGAAATAATAACTCCCATTCAAAATGTAACATTAATTCACTTTCCCATTCAATTTAATATCCAATCACCATTAATAACAAAATAACATATCCAAAAATGAATTGTAACCAACAAGAAGGTTGACTGAATTGTAACCTAAGCAAGTGGCCAACAACTTTTCAGGAAAATTGATTTAAATATTCCAATGAACTGGAGAGAGAACCAAGGAATGCAAGGAAAACAAAAGTTAGGTTAATTTACCCCATAAAGGAGGAGCTACTGAGCTCAGGACAAGGAATACAAGCACAAAAAACGGAAGTGAGATTAATTTGTTGACTTCACATTCATGCTGATCTTGAGCTGGCCAAGTCCTCCAGATCTTGGTGACAGGCCTTCATATAATATTTGTTTGCAACAATTTATATATGCTTCTGCTGAATTATACCAAAACTTGTCCTTAATTCATTACGAAGATATGCTTTTTCAATACTCCTTCTCTTCAATTTTGGCCCAAATCCAGCAGAGAGAGCAAATTGTCGCAATATCTCAGGCCAGGTCAATGGATTTAAGTGGCACTACCAGCTGCGTATATCAAAGCTCCAAGCATACGCCTGAAAGTAAAACAAAGGAATAAAAAGTATTTCAGAATGAATAAACACAAAATCAAGCCACAATTGACAACAAGATAGAAGCAGCAACAAAAACCAACCACAGAACAAAGCTTACCCCTTCAACAATCTGTGGATGGCCACCTCCAGGATTGGCAGCAGTATTTTGATTTACTCCCAACCCAGTCGAAGAGGGTGTCCTTGCTACATCCTCAATATCTTTAATTATGGATCTTAGAAGAGCTACATGAATCTCCCCTAACAACCTTGGATCCTGAAAATAGTAGGGAGCAGCTAAAACAATAAGATGAGAGTAAGGATAAAGCAAATAGTCTAAAGGCAAAATTAAATACAAGGATCTCAAGAACTTACATAATCATGAAAAGCTTGAACAAATTCATCCAGCATAAATGGCCAAAGCCCAGAACGTCAGCAAAATTTATTAAAAATCTCCAGACCTAAAAATCAATTCACAGGTAATAATATTAGAATGACCACAATACCTCCATAAGCATCACCATTAGATCTAGTCCATATGTTGCTTGAAAAATTGTAGTTCAATCAACATTTAGATAATCAAACACCAAAAAATCACCATGAACTTTCTTTATTACCCATACTTCTTTCCATTACATGGTAACTAATATATACTCAAAAAAACATAATCATCATACAACAAATAAAAGCATCAGATTGCCATACCAAATTATGAACGTCAGACTGCCATTATAATCAAATTGCCTTACCAAATTAAAGTTTTCATAGCTTTGCCAAATTAAAAACAATCAGACTGCCTTACCAAACTATACATGTTCATAACAAATAAAAGCATCAGATTGCCTTACCAAAACTATACATGTTCATAACTATACTCAAATTCAGACTGCCTTACCAAATTAAAGTTTTCATAGCTATGCTTGACTGAAGGCAAAACTTGAGGTTCAAGTAAAATGATAGATTCCAAAAAAATTATGTGATGACATGTTGGAGAAGCATAAAGACCACAAAAACACTAAACCGTCCCATCTCACTGCTGTTGACATGTCTAAAGAACCACTCGAACTAAATAAGGATTTGGGAAACCAACAAGGTCAGCCATGTGAACAATGAAAATAAGAATCCATAATAACAGATCAATATATAATAGAGTTAAGTCCAATACCCACCATAAGTCAATAAACTCATCAACCACCCTTAAGAGAACCTTCTTTGTATAACTCGATTGTTATTGACCCTTTTGAGGTATTTAAAATCTGTTAAAACAGGAAACGAGTGCCACTTGAGAGAGTTCATAGTACTAAGCCACTCTGCCCTTGGCCAACTTTATACTAACCTGTTAGTTCTACTAAAACTCATGACAATAATGTGTACATGCTACTAACTTTAGTTTAGTAAACTAGAAAGTGATACCCACCAATCATACTTTTAAGTCATACCTATGAACCTATGTAAGTACAAATTTTGGAATACACCCATAAATACACTTGTATAGACTTAAATATATCTATAGAGGTGTTCATCTGCAAATATTGCCTCTATACATTCATATAGATTTACTTGCATATGTCTAACCACTGCCACCTAAACAAACATCAGATTTAATCAAATAAGCAAAAAAGTACATCAAAGTTGAAAGGTATTACCTCACTACAAGTTGGTTCCAAATACAAACTTTTCTCGGTGATTTCTCTAGTCTGCTTAACTTTCGGTATATGAGCAATCCTTCCAGACGTTGAATTTCCATTTACATAGGCCTGCAACAAAATGGGTACAATTGAAATGGACTCTTAAATCAAATCAAATGCCTGATTGATTAATTACATAAAATCAAAACCATATATAAAACACTTTGGTACCCTATATTGCCTCTCCAGCCACATTTTGCTTGAAAACAGGTCCACAAAGCTGAATTCTTAACACAATAAAATGCCCATGATAGATACAGCAAGCGAACTGTCAAGCAAGAAAACATAAAAAAATAAATATAAATAAAAGAAATATGGACAATTTACCCATTTGCAGTGATGAAAATGAACAAGCTCTTCTCCTTTGAATCCCCACCTTTGCACTATAGTAAAAAGAAAAGCAAAACATAAATAAACATTTATACTGGAAGAAAAAAGAATGATCCAACCCACTTCTCTTCAGTTTTAATAAACAAATATATAACACACCAAGTTTAATGTACTTTTAACTAATTGGTTAAATACTACTTAAATAATTCCTAATATATAACAAGATTGTCAATTCAAACAATCAAATAAACACAACTATATAAGTGTAGCAGCATATATTACATAGGTTTCAGATAAAACAAACACAATATAGCTTCTAGGAACAAATTTTGGAACAAACAAAGCATACCATTGGGCAACTTAAGTGGTTGTACTGCCCTGGTTTACAGATGTTGCTATCAATCCCAAGCTCCTCCATTTTCCTCCTCAAAATCTTCATTTCAGCCAAGTCAATACCATTCTCTTCTAGGATCTCCCCATAAAGTTGAGAAACTAAAGCAATTCAAAACACCATACTCTCGATAACCCTTCAAACAAAAATATATACATTAAAACACTGAGAAACACATATATGTGGATTTAAAGGGGAAAAACCTGGTGTGTAAAGAAAATTGTTCATAACTAAAGAAGAAAATAACATAACTAAAGAATAAAATAACATAATTAGGGGTTCATATGATACACATTTTTTAAAGGAGTGTATATTAGAATTTTCCTCAACTTTTAGTTTTCAACTTCCAATTTTATCAAACACCAGTTAACTCTTGAAAACATAAAGATGATGCTAGTTCATAGTTTTCGTCAATGCTAGTTTATTTATTTTCAAGAAGCAAATAAATAAAAACAGAAAGGAAGCAATAGAATTTTTGTTGGCCTTTGAATTTCTATTTTGTTGGCCTTTTAGTTTATAATAGATAACCTTAATGAATAGAATTTTTACCTTGACTTAGTAAAGAACCACTAAGGTTATTTTGAGCCAGAGATAGAGCTTTCAGAGAAGATAATGCTCCTATGGATGGAGGAATACTTGCAAAGAAATTATTCTCACTCAAATCTAAGATCTAAAGATGGTGGAAGGATGTCAAACCTACCAAAACATATGATAAAGGTACAATAGAGCCAAGAGAACTCAACAAAATACAATCAAGATTGCAGGGTGATCCTAAGACAATTTAAATAACAAAATTCTTGCCTTACATTGGTAGTGTTCCATTGAGCAGATTTCCTCTGAGGAGGAGGACCTCCAAATTGCTAAGATTATAAGTGAATTCTGTAACCCAAGTGAAAAGACTCCTTAATTAGATTGAGATAAAGAAAATAGAGATAAATATAATTTGATGTTGTGAACTATATTCTATGGGCACCTCAATTAGTAGCTCAATTTCAAATGAAAATGTAATGTTAAAAAAATTTAAGGACAATGATGCCATTGATGGCAGTAATAGATTCCAGAAAGATATATTTGACAAAGAACTATAACTTTGCACAAATTGCTAGCTGTAAGACTTCATTTTTCCAACTATTTTAAGTCTTCTCAACACTCAAATGGAGCTAAAAAAATTAACTTATGCAGCATGAATTTGAGCAATAAAAAATACACATACCTTGGTTAGAAAGTGGTCCTTCCATGCTATTGGACACTAAGGACAAAAACTTAAGGGATGGGAGAGCACCCAAAATCCTGAAGGCATCCTCGTCAAAATTATTATAACTTAGATCCAGATGTCTCATCTTGCTCAAATTAGACAGTAGTTTAGAATCTGAGCATATCACCATGATCAAATGTCATTAAAAGTCAACCCCAAAGAGCCATAAGTGAAAATGACCAACTTATTGCTTTTATAGGTAATTAGGTACTTTTTAAAAAGACTTTCTCTCTAATTCACAATTGTAGAGAATATATATATAGTGGTATGGAATGAGAGCGCACAACCCCCCCCCTTTTATTTCACCAAAAACAGTAATTAGGTAAACCACAAACCGCTAGCTATGTCATTCTAATTAAAGAATCAATACACTTCCATTTGTTTCTACTCATGGGGAATTACTTGCTATGTATAAAACCAAACAATGTAGACAATTTCTTTCATAAGTAACATCTAACATATTTAATCATATTTTCAATTTCAAATCAATAGGTAAGTTGAACCAGTTAAAAAAACAATAAATAATAAACAAAATGAAACAAAAGAAGTTGTAAAGCTAGAAGTACTAACAACTATTTCCCAGCCTTCTATTTCTTTTTCTTTTATCTTGCTTTCTCTTTTTGGGCTTTCCTATTATTTATTTAAATATTTGAAAATCAAGAGCACAACCATTGAATGGCACCATCATTATTTTACACATAAATGCGCAGTAGAAATCTATGATCTTGAATGTTACTTTAAGTGCCAGCTATCTAATAACAAAGTTATAACAATAGATTTTATTTATTTATTTATTTTTGGTTCATTTCAAGTAGACATTAAAATGCTCTTCTGAAGCTCAATGAATGACACAACACTCTAAAACCAATGCATTGTCCAATGCCTTTGTCAAATCCTCTTTGCTTAATTGATTCATGGCCTTTCTCTTTATCTGAACTTGTTGGAAATTGTACCAAGTTCCTATCTTTAGATGTTGGTTTTTCTTTTTTGTAGTATTGTTGCTGCAATAATTTCATAATATTTGCAGTAATAATTTGGTCTAAAGAGGCTAAGAGTTAAGAATTTGAGCATGCCCAAGGTTTTAATACGCCCAAGGGTTGAGGGGCTTTCCTCTCATGGGAGAGCATGTTTCTTGTGACGGTAATAGAGTTGATTCTCTAAAGAAGAATGAGTAGTGCTGCTTGAGCAGAGTATTTAGGCCAAAATTGCAAACCAACTCCAAATGGAAATTTTCTATTAAAAAAGCAAGTTAAAGGGTTATGCCTTGGTATCATATCTATTAAGTTGTGGTTTGTAGGTAGTATTATTTTGTTTGGGTATTTTGGTAGTACAGTCAATTTGGTGGGTAAAGAAGGTAAACCACATAATTATGTTTTCTGCTTATTTTTTATGCTTAATAATTCCTATGCTATTTTTTCCTGCTAATTCAACAAGACCAACGGCAAATTGAAATTTGCATTTAAAATTTATTGGTTTTATTGTTGGCCATTAAAGTTCATGAAGCTTGAGTTGAACATGGGGGCAAACTGAAATTTGTATTTTAAATTGATGGATGAATGTATATGTAATTTAAATATATATATATATATATACTAATGTATATGAATATTTTAACACTTATGGGGTTTTATACAGGGGCATATACCACCCAACACAGATGAAAACATAAAAGATGAGTGAAAATGTAAAATTGAAGTAAAAACTTAAAACTTTATGAGTGTATTTCATAGTTAACTGAAAAGTTTACACAAATATAAAGAGATTATTCCGGTTATTATATACTTTTAGAGACAAAAACCAAAAGCCCGCAAAAAAATGGAGTGATTGAAAAATTCCATACCCATTTTTTTTGTATTGGTTGTAAACTTCAGTCAATTGGGTATAGTTTGAATCTGCTAACCTACTGTTTCAACCCCCACATACACAAATCACACAGAAACCCAATATTAGAAAAGAAAGATAAAAGATTAAACCCATATATCAATTTCACAGAATATGAGGCAACAATAAACAAGATCAGAAAAGAGAAGAGAAGGGAAGAAACCATTTGGAAGCAACGTTGACAACAAGAAGAACCTTCCCTTTGTATGTGCTGAGATCCACCTCCTTACCCTTGCTATCCTGCACATCCCAAACAAATTCCAAACTATTTCAAAATCCAAACAAAACAATTTGAACAAACACATATAAACATGTATGTAAAACAAATAAAGAATGAGAGAGAGACCTTGACTGAGAAATCATGAATGGATTTTTGAGGGACTGATTCAGAAGCACCCATCTAGATTGTAACCAGAGAGATTTGTTTACATGTAAAGATTTCTATTTCTTGAAGGTTTGTCCAAGACAACAGCCAGCACAGAGCACCAATATGTATATATGTGTGTGTGTATGTGTGAACAACATGGAGAGAGTAGCCTTGAAAAAGTTTTCCTTCACATTATTTTCCCAATAGATTTGTATTTCAAAACAAGCACCATATGATGATATTGTTACATCATTTTTATGGAATTTTTTGTATGCATAAAGTTTTCCTATAGGATGTTATGTATGAATCAGTCAAAAATACACAATTCCAAAATGTCAAAAAGCCAAGAGAACCTATGTCATTGCCAAAGACTTGTTATGCAGAGGTTATTGTGTGCGCATATATACATATATATATATATATATATATGCATGATAACAATTGAGTTAATCAAATTTCCATCATTTTTCTCTAGTATGACTATAGTTCTACATGCCACCATCGTCAATGGAAAAAGAGAAAAAGTCAATGTGGCAATTTCAATCCATGACTAGCTACCATGATAAAATATGTACATATATATTTTCAAAAGTAGAGGATCTGAAATTCAACTCGAGCAGACGTAAAGACGACGACGACAACGACGACGACGACGACGACGGCAACAACAATTCTATAAATGCACTGTTTCAAATGCAATCAATCTATGATAAATGTGCAACACGATTGAATCAAATGGAATTGAAGTATTTGGAGCATTTGAAATTCGTTCTTTTTATCAAATGAAATTCTAGGAACACTTTGAGAATGGAATGTGTTTGACTTACCATGTAGGGAACACCATCAAGTCAGCAAAACTAGCTCCCAAGAAATCCTGTTTGGTTGTGTTTTTGTTTCTGGTTCTTGTTTTTCTTGTTTTTGGAAGAAATAATGGAAAGTTTGAAAATACTCATCATTTTCATTTTTTTAGCAAAATTAGTTTTTGAGAATTTTTGTGAAACAATTCGCCAAACCAGTTTATTTGGAACATGAGAATAGAAAAGAGAAAACAAAAACACAAAGAGGCTAGTGTCATAAACAACTAAATAGACAGATTCTCACCAAATATATAAGGTATGCAAACATGGAGAATGGAACTTTAAATCTTAGGATTTTGGTAGATTCATCCAAAGTCTTGTATATCTTCTTAGGCAACTGTAACCATAAGAGTAATTAATTAAATACTAACATATATGAAACATTGGAACCATAATATATATATATATATATATATATAGAAATGCTAAACAGACCTTGTCAACCCCAATCAAGGCATTCCCTTCCATCTCCTTTGATGAGGCCTTCGGTGAAGAACTGACCATGCTAAGTCCACCCTCTTTATCTGTGAAGAATTGGAATGTAGTTTCAAACATTGTTACAGGACTTAAAATTTTTGAATACAATTGTTAAAGATTGAACTTGCCTAGCAAAATCAGAAACAGAACATGTTATGTTTTGTGTAGGTTTAAAGGATAATTTTGAACAAATTAGAGCTAAATAGCATAACTGCAAATACAAAAATAAAAATAACTAGCCTCTTTATCTTCTTTTTTTACTTCGACTACACTATAAAAAAAAATAAATAAATAAAAAATACAGGGTATGCATATAGAGAAGCTTAGACGAATATACATTCTTGGAGTCTTCACTGCTTGCAGTCTCGGCATATATGACCAGGCAAAACAAAACTTGTTTATATACAGGGTATGCATGTTTAATGTGGTGTCTACACCTTCATATTATTAGGATGATAAAGTCTGAAGTTTCCAACAACTTATTATGCATAAAAGATAAAAGAAACTCACTCAAACGGTTCAAAATATCTTCTATTTTTCTTCATGAATGAAGTCTTAAAAGGGCTATGATGCAGCATCACAAATTGCCACAAATTTCTCATCATCAAACAAATCTATTAGTTAAAGACCAGCACTCTAATAAAACATCAAATGGCTGAAATAATCAAATTTAATAAACTATTAAGTGAAACCATCACTTCAGTGAATTCCAATCTGTTGTTTTAAGCAAACATAGCTAGTTTTTGAACATGGTCGTACTCATTTGATACATAATTCAACATATAATCCATATGAATATATAAAAGGTTACAGAGTTTCTTGTTGAGATCTATTTTAAAAAAATTTGTCAATCTATTCATATATATGTATGTATGTATGTATTTTGTGTTCAATTTTAACATCTACAATACACATTATGATCTTCAATCGATCAATAGATCTTCAATCGAAACCTACCATACTTGAATCGAATCAATAGATCTTCAATCTGATCTAAGAATGATAAAGTAGATGAAACCTAGCATACTTGAATCGAAAGATTCCGTCAGTAAGAAGATCGAGATGAGACTGATTAACACTTACTATGAAGAAAGAGCTGCGAATGCGAACACGAACTAGAGAAGAGGCTTGAATCGATCTATGAATACTTGAATCAATCTGCAAATACGAAGGGGTTCATCTATGGTTCTACAAATATGAAGGGTTGTCTCTGAAACGAAGGGGTTTGAAGCGAGAGAGAGTGAAATCAAGGGTTTAGAGAGAGAGAGAGAGAGTGTAATTTAAATATATATATACTAATGTATATGCAATCAAAAAAATTTACACACTCATGTATATGAATATTTTAACACCTATGGGGTTTTATACAGGGGCATATACCACCCAACACAGATGAAAACATAAAAGATGAGTGAAAATGTAAAATTGAAGTAAAAACTTAAAACTTTATGAGTGTATTTCATAGTTAACTGAAAAGTTTACACAAATATAAAGAGATTATTCCGGTTATTATATACTTTTAGAGACAAAAAGCAAAAGCCCCCCAAAAAATGGAGTGATTGAAAGATTCCATACCTTTTTCTTTGTATTTGTTGTAAACTTCAGTCAATTGGGTATAGTTTGAATCTGCTAACCTACTATTTCAACCCCCACATACACAAATCACACAGAAACCCAATATTAGAAAAGAAAGATAAAAGATTAAACCCATATATCAATTTCACAGAATATGAGGCAACAATAAACAAGATTAGAAAAGAGAAGAGAAAGGAAGAAACCATTTGGAAGCAACGTTGACAACAAGAAGAACCTTCCCTTTGTATGTGCTGAGATCCCCCTTGCTATCCTGCCTATCCTGCACATCCCAAACAAATTCCAAACTTTCTCAAAATCCAAACAAAACAATTTGAACAAACACATATAAACATGTATGTAAAACAAATAAAGAATGAAAGAGAGACCTTGACTGAGAAATCATGAATGGATTTTTGAGGGACTGATTCAGAAGCACCCATCTAGATTGTAACCAGAGAGATTTGTTTACATGTAAAGATTTCTATTTCTTGAAGGTTTGGCCAAGACAACAGCCAGCACAGAGCACCAATATGTATATGTGTGTGTGTGTGTCTGTGTCTGTGTGTGAACAACATGGAGAGAGTAGCCTTGAAAAAGTTTTCCTTCACATTATTTTCCCAAGAGATTTGTATTTCAAAACAAACACCATATAATGATATTGTTACATCATTTTTATGGAATTTTTTGTATGCATAAAGTTTTCCTATAGGATGTTATGTATGAATCAGTCAAAAATACACAATTCCAAAATGTCAAAAAGCCAAGAGAACCTATGTCATTATGCAGAGGTTATTGTGTGCGCATATATACATATATATATATATGCATGATAACAATTGAGTTACTCAAATTTCCATCATTTTTCTCTGGTATGACTATAGCTCTATATGTCACCATCATCAATGGAAAAAGAGAAAAAGTCAATGTGGCAATGTCAATCCATGACTAGCTACCATGATAAAATATGTACATATATATTTTCAAAAGTAGAGGATCTGAAATTCAACTCGAGCAGACGTAGAGACGACGACGACGACGACGACAACAACAATTCTATAAATGCACTGTTTCAAATGCAATCAATCTGTGATAAATGTGCAACAAGATTGAATCAAATGGAATTAAAGTATTTGGAGCATTTGAAATTCGTTCTTTTTATCAAATGAAATTCTAGGAACACTTTGAGAATGGAATGTATTTGACTTACCATGTAGGGAACACCATCAAGTCAGCAAAACTAGCTCCCAAGAAATCCTGTTTGGTTGTGTTTTTGTTTCCGGTTCTTGTTTTTCTTGTTTTTGGAAGAAATAATGGAAAGTTTGAAAATACTCATCATTTTCATTTTTTAGCGAAATTAGTTTCTGAGAATTTTTGTGAAACAATTCGCCAAACCAGTTTATCCAGAACATGAGAACAGAACAGAGAAAACAAAAACACAAAGAGGCTAGTGTCATAAACAACTAAATAGACAGATTCTCACCAAATATATAGGGTATGCAAACATGGAGAATGGAACTTTAAATCTTAGGATTTTGGTAGATTCATCCAAAGTCTTGTATATCTTCTTAGGCAACTGTAACCATAAGAGTAATTAATTAAATACTAACATATATGAAACATTGGAACCATAAAAAAAAAATATATATATATATATATATAGAAATGCTAAACAGACCTTGTCAACCCCAATCAAGGCATTCCCTTCCATCTCCTTTGATGTGGCCTTCGGTGAAGAACTGACCATGCTAAGTCCACCCTCTTTATCTGCGAACAATTGAATGTAGTTTCAAACATTGTTACAGGTCTTAAAATTTTTGAATACAATTGTTAAAGATTGAACTTGCCTAGCAAAATCAGAAATAGAACATGTTATGTTTTGTGTAGATTTAAAGGATAATTTTGAACAAATTAGAGCTAAATAGCATAACTGCAAATACAAAAATAAAAATAACTGGCCTCTTTATCTTCTTTTTTTACTTCAACTACACTATAAAAAAATATAAAAAAAAAATACAGGGTATGCATATAGAGAAGCTTAGATGAATATACATTCTTGGAGTCTTCACTGCTTGCAGTCTCAGCATATATGACCAGGCAGAACAAAACTTGTTTATATACAGGGTATGCATGTTTAATGGGGTGTCTACACCTTCATATTATTAGGATGATAAAGTCTGATGTTTCCAACAACTTATTATGCATAAAAGATAAAAGAAACTCACTCAAACGGTTAAAAATATCTTCTATTTTTCTTCATGAATGAAGTCTTAAAAGGGCTATGATGCAGCATCACAAATTGCCACAAATTTCTCATCATCAAACAAATCTATTAGTTAATGACCAACACTCTAATAAAACATCAAACGGCTGAAATAATCAAATTTAATAAACTATTAAGTGAAACCATCACTTCAGTGAATTCCAATCCGTTGTTTTAAGCAAACATAGCTAGTTTTTGAACATGGCCGTACTCATTTGATACATAATTCAACATATAATCCATATGAATATATAAAAGGTTACAGAGTTTCTTGTTGAGATCTATTTTAAAAGAAATTGTCAATCTATTCATATATATGTATCTATGTATGTATTTTGTGTTCAATTTTAACATCTACAATACACATTATGATCTTCAATCGATCAATAGATCTTCAATCGAAACCTACCATACTTGAATCGAATCAATGGATCTTCAATCTGATCTAAGAATGATAAAGTAGATGAAACCTAGCATACTTGAATCGAATGATTCCATCAGTAAGAAGATAGAGATGAGACTGATCAACACTTACTATGAAGAAAGAGCTGCGAATGCGAACACGAACTAGAGAAGAGGCTTGAATCGATCTATGAATACTTGAATCGATCTGCAAATACGAAGGGGTTCAGCTACGGTTCTACAAATATGAAGGGTTGTCTTTGAAACGAAGGGGTTTGAAGCGAGAGAGAGTGAAATCAAGGGTTTAGAGAGAGAGAGAGAGAGAGAGCAAGACTGAGAGTGAATAATACTTGAATTGATCTACGAATACATGAATTGATCTACGAATACATGAATTGATCTGCAAATACAAAGGGGTTCATCTGCGGTTCTACAAATACGAAGGAGTTTGAAGAGAAGAGAGAGAGAGAGAGAGAGAGAGAAAGAGTGAAATCAAGGTTTAGGGCTCTTTTGGGAATTGGAGAAAAACGCCACGTTTTGTGGCTGAGCAAAACGCCAAGTTGCGTTTTTGCTCATTTGGGAAGTGCCAAAAAGTAGGTTGGAAAATTACGTAAGTACCCTTAATGTTTACATCTTGTGGGTTTGGATAAAATGTAATTTTATTAAGTTGGGTAAGGGTATTTTAGTCATTTTAGTGTGATGTAACACCATAAACAAATATTAATCCAAAAAAAAATAATTTTTTACCAACTTCCCAAATCACTCCCAAAAAGTTTGGTTAAAAGCAAAAAAGTTACTTTTTACAATCTTCTCAAAATATCACTTAGTCAAAAAGAAGGAGACTGAGAGAGAGTGAATACGCTACTTTATGTTCTCATATGTTAAAAAAATAAAAAAACACATTCGAAGGCGTTTTTAAAACGACTTCTGAAATTAAAACAGTGTTGTATTATTAAACAAAAAATGCGACGTTTATAAAAACGCCGTTAAATGTTAGAAACAGAGGCATTTTTTTAAACGTCGTTAAATAAACGCCATTAAATCCCAGTATTCTTGTAGCACATTTATTAAACATAAATTATGCTGGAACAAATGATAAAACAAGAATTACATATATATATATATATAAGTGTTGTCAGCACTGTACACAGGTGCAATTTGTGTAATTGCAATGCTCAAACACCATCAAATTTTGATTATTTATTTATTTATATTTTTTTGCAGAGATGAATAGAAACCTGAAGTGAACATTGTCAAATTCACTACAGAGGCTTTTTGCATCAGCTTTATCGCTAATTCCAGCCCGCTCCTCCTGTGTACTTTGTGGAAATGCCTCAATTTGGTGCTCTGTTTTTTGCCTCAATTTCATCATTTTGCGAGAGAGAGTGGTTAAGTTATGATGTGTAATTCACCCGGTTTAATTTGTTTTTTATTTTTCATTTTTCATTTTTTTACCAAATTATTTTTATTTTTATTATTTTTTAATAAAAAAATTGAATAAATAACATAATGAAAAATGTCATACAAATTAATAAATTTTTGTTACCGATTGATTATTGTGCCTTTTTATCCGGTACGTTTGAATTATGAATTTTTGTTTAAGTTATATTTTTTCATATATATATATATATATATATTTTAAATTTATACTCCAATTCACAATTCAAATGATAGTCTTATTGAATATGTTTAGAAAACTTACAAATATTATACATTATTTGTTACACGTATTTTTTTACAAAATATATAATTTTTTTAAATTTTTAATATGTATTCTAAGAATATATATTAACAAAATTTTAAGTATAAATATAAATCAGTTAAGAGTCAGTAATTACCTCAATTAATGATGATCCAAAATTTTCTTGGATACTTGGATACTAGTTGATAAGCAAAAGAAACTCCCACTTTGCTAAAACATCTTAAAGATGCATTAATTGTCGAGAACAATGAACTACAACAATGGCAAGAATTAGATGATGGAATGAAGATATAAAAAAGATTTGCAGATGCCAAGAGACAAATGAATTAGACATATAGCCCCGTTTGTTTTGGGTGTAATGGATGGGAGGGGATTAGGATAGAAGTAGGGTTATTTAGTATTATATTTGTTTGTAGAGTTGGGGAAAAAACTAGGATGGAGGGGGGATTAAAATGGAGGTTGGAAGGAGGGATTGAGATGGAGGATGTAGAGGTGGTATTAGAAAAATAGTGAGGGGATTAGAAATTTTTTTATTTTTTTTATTTTTTGCATATTGGGAATTTTTTTTAAACATTAATGTTTAATTTTTTATATATTTTTATTTGTTTTATTATTTTATATAAAAATAATTTAACAATTCCTATAACTAACAACTATCATCAAAATAAACACAATTTTACTTAATCTTCTCACTAACAATTTCCTCATATCCCCAAACTATAAATCTCATACATTGTATCTCTGAAAACAAACCTAAGGAGACCGCATGTCTTAAGCTAGTCAACCACAAAAAAGCTAGTCCACAAGAAATTATTAAAAAAAAATTGTATTGTCAGTTTGGGAAGGGCTAATTTAGCTATTTTAGCCACAAAAGACAAAATAGGTTATTTTAGCCACAAAAAATAAAACATTCCATCCAACCCATAAGCATTACACTCTTCTCTCACAAAAAAAGTCAAAAAAATCAAAAAGTCAAAAAGTCCTTCCCAAACTAGACTTTTTAGCCCAGGCTAAAATAGCCAAAAAAATCAAAAAGCCAACTCACTTCCCAAACCAACTTTTAGTTGTTTAATCTCTCGCTGAACCAAAAAACTTTGAATGTTTTATATGTGAGTATGATAAATTACACTAACTTTTTTTTGACGTGTGAAAATTATAGTAAATTTCATAATTTTGACATAATTATATAATTTTTTTTTATAATAAAGTTAAAGAGACCGAAACAAATATAAATAGGATGAAAAATATAAAAATAAATAAATTTTCAATATAAAAGAAATGGTGGCAACATAGTTTTTTTTTTTTTCCCATTTATATAACTAATGAAATATTAATAAAAATATGATTAACTGTTAAGTGAATTAAAATTTTAACATGTAATTATGTCAAAGTGATAAGCTTATTCTATTTTTTTCAAACCTTAAGAAAAGTTAATGTAATTTATACCTTTAGAGCATGTTTGATTGAGATGATTAGAGCATGAGATTGAGAGGATTAGAGCATGAGATTGAGATTATTAATCCATGGGCTCAATAGTCCTGTGTTTGTTTTGACATTTTATTTTAGGATTATTAATTCAATGGATAATTAATCTAACAAATTTATAGGATTATTAGTAATGGGGTAGGGGTGTGTTGGAAAAAAAAAAAAAAAACTCTTTTACCTTCGTATGTTTTCTTATCCAATGCAAATCAAACAATAGACAAAGAGATAATTTATCCTACTAGTCTAACTAGATAGTGAATACCACACTAATTTAATGAAATTATTAATACCTTCATTATTAATCTTCTGAATCAAACACTATCTTAAAAGTAAACTATGTCAAAAGTCCTTGAACTTTCTATATTTTTTCCGATTAAACTCTTAGATGTTTTTGTTCAATAAGTTAATTAACTTTTAAAATGTGGACATACATTTTAACGTAATCATCATTATTTTTAGGGATTTTATTCTTAAGATCCCTAGTATTAAGATTTTATAGCATAAAGGACCTCCAATATTTTAATAATGTCTAAGGTCCCTCAAGTTGATCTAGAGAAAATTCACGTCACAGAGAAAATTGGTTCTGAGAAATTCTGAGAAATTTTGAAAATTTCTTTGGCCTTCCCTGAACTTCTAAATGTAAATTTCTCTGCCCTCTCCTTCTCCAAATTTTTCTACCCTCCATATACTTCTCACTCTCCTAGAGAAATTTCTCTGCCTTTCCACAAAATTACATCTCTAGAGAAATTTTAAATTTCTCTGTCCTCCCTGCCTCTCTTGGACTCAACTCTCTAGAGAAAATTTAGAAATTTTCCTGGTCTTCCTTTCTTTCCAGAGAAATTTTCCTTCTCTGGCCTTCAGAGAAATTTCCCTCTCTAGAGAAAATTTCTCTAGCCTTCCCTACTTTCCAGAGAAATTTCCCTTCTCCAAACCCAGAGAAATTCATTCAAACCAGAGAAATTCCCCCTCTCCAAACCAGAGAAATTCTCCCTCACAATCTTTTCTGGTTGAAAATCATAAACCTCAGATAAAATGTGATCCATGATTCATACATTGGCTGGAGTGTTACAAGATCTGTCAACAGTATCTTGGGAAATTTGAAGAAACAAAGTCAGAATTTATAGCTGCAGAAATTATAACACACAACATGCCATCCGGTCTATGTCACTCCCCAAAACAATACATACACACATATATATACACACGCAAACACAAAATTTTGAGTAATGACTGGTGATGTGATCGGTATTTATCATGATCAACACTCACAAAGGGGCAAATCAATGAAGGAAAAACAAAATTACCTATGAAGAATGCCATGGCTATGGAAGTGAGCAACCCCAGTACACAACTGATAGAGAAAACTCTAGATTAGTGAAAGCAGAAGAGGCCGAGGATCGGAACCCTTACGATGGGAGTCCATTTCTCTCTTTCACCACATATACGTATACACATATATGTAGTGAGAGAGAAAAATGGATTGATCGTTGCCGGAAAACCTAATACTTGTGACCTAGGATCGCTTTCATGAAGCCGATGATGACGAATCTGGCTCCAAAATGAAACACACAGTGGGTGTTGCAGTGAATGAGAATGAGAGTGGAGGCAACGGTTCAAGGTTGATCGAATCATAGAAAGAGAGAGAGAGAGAGAATGATGAAAGCCCTAGCCAGAGGAAAGAAGAAAACGAGAAAGTGAATTTTCTCTGGAATATACGGGTGTAGGGTCGAGCGACCTTAGACATTATAAAATAATATTGTTAGGGGTGTCTACGGATCGGTTTCGTGCGGTTCGGATGGCGGGTTGGACCCGCCCGATGGGATGCGGGTTGGTAAAAAATGGCACCGCGTCCGCCCGCAATGCGGGTTACGGATTGAACGGGTGGATCATGCGGTTGTGCGGGCGGTTGCAGGCAGTTTGGGAAATATTTTTTATTTTATTTTTTGCTTCAATAGAGTGCAAAATTGCAAATGAGAGATTTTTTCTTTTGAGAGATTTTTTTCGTCAGTTTTTTTTGTTAAACAGATTATTATTATTATGCAAATTATTAAATAGATTATTATTCAGATAATTATTATTAAACAGATTATTTTCATATTATTTTTTTCGCAATTTTTTTTTAAACAGATTATTATTATTCAACAATAAAAACATTTTCTTTTGTTAAATAATCAAAGCAAAATGTTACAAAC